CTTCTAGGAAAATAAATTAAAGAAAGCTACAGAATTATTGGGCCTTTAGTTGGAAGATACCATTTTACAGGCACAAGGATATTTGCAGGCCAAGTTTCTCAGCAGATGTAAAAAACCCCACCTTTTACAGTCCAGAGGAGAATTAGTTACGAAGGTGATTAGTTATGGGGCTGTTCTCCAAGAACACAAGGGAGACTGAAACAGAAGCCTTGTGGCAGAGACCTGTGTCAAACTTTGAAGGCAACTGATATGGGGGTTTTTTTCAGACCCAGGTATGAAGCCTTTGTTACTTTAATCATTTGCTTGCTGTAAACCTTCAGATTAATAACACCAGGTTTTGTTTTGAACAACTTCTTCTGCATCACTTTAATGTGCTGCAAGCCCCAGGCTTCCAGAGGAAATTTCTTGAGGACACTGAATTCAGCTGGACCTGTAGCGAGGGCAGGGAAAGCAGGCAGCAAGCAGCAGCCTCCAGAGCCAGCCTGTCAGTGTGTGAACAGCACTCATCCACCCTTGAAAAGCACCTGCTGGGAGTGTGGTTGAAGGAGATGTGGAAGTGCCTAAGGCTCAGGCCCCATGTTGACTCTGACGCTTTGCAGATCACAAATCCTGCCTACGTTTTTACAGCGTTTCTAACTGACAGTAATGCTGAATCCTTGTAATTTCGCTTCTTGAGAAGATAAGTGCCTTTTGTAGAACCTAACTGATTTCCTGAACAAAGGTGCTCCCTTCCAGTTGCCCAGGAGACACAGTTGTACATCAATACTGTTACAGTGAAAGAAATAGATGGTAAAGTGCTGTGGGCTACAGCAGACTCATGAAATGTAGGGAGGCTTATTTTGTTACAGAATAAGGGAGTGTTGGTTTTGGGTTTTTTTTAACCATGTGCTTTGGTACCAACATCCAAGCAAGATTTTTTTCTGTGGGAGTTCAGGAGCTCCTCAGGGAGTATGCATGTGATGGTGATGCGAAAATGTGTGGCTGTGTTTTGCTGAGGTTGCGTCTTCAGTGAAAGTGCAAAGGAACTTTGAATGAATCTGTATATCAGCATACAGCAAGTGTTTTGACTTCAGTGGAACTAAGCAAATGTTTGGTTATTGAGTCTCCAGTCCCTTGAACAAGGACTGCTGTGACATTTGCTGTTGTAGCAGAAATGAAAGGTCCGAGTTCTTGGTAAAATTTTCAAAGTTACCATAATGACTCAATAGTCCGTATTCAATATTTAGTTGTTTGGACTTCCAAGAAAGTACTGGAGTGATTGTTCAAAAGTTACTTTCCTAAATTACTGCAGAATTTCTATTTTGTTCTGTTAGTTGATGGTGATGTTGCAGTATTGTAGGAACAGATGTGCTGGTAAAATGTGTTTTGCCTGTATCTTCTGAAGTGTTTTAAACAAAAGTGCCTCAGTTGTCCATTTTGTGCTGAAGTGGACTGCAAAACAGCTAGCGTACTTGTTGATGCTTGTTAAAAGCATCCTCTTGAAGAAGTAATGCTGTGGGCATTTATCTATTTAACAACTGATTTAAATCACAAGTACAAACTTTTTTATAGGGCTACACATAAGATGATGAAACGTAAGCATGGTTTTAATCTGTAAGATTGTATTTTACCTGCAAGTCAATTTAAAATATGATCAATAAAAAAGCATATACGTGCATACCTAATAAGTACGTGAGATGGTAACTCAGTTCAAGTAACTCAGCTGGTTAATCTCCTACTGCCCACTCTAGAAAGGTAATTTGTGTACCATCTTAAAAAAACAACCAACCAAACAAAACTAAAACACACACAAAAAAAGAAACAAAAAAAGAAACCCCTAAAGTACTCTGGAAAATTAAAATAAGCAAATAGAAACAGGGAGATATAGTGTGAAAGCAATTAAAATACTTTTCTTAATATATGAAATTATTTAAAGGGAGGCTTTACCATGGTTTCAAGTTTAATAGCTTTAGGTTTCAGCCTAGAAGAGCATTCGAGTTTGATCAGTAGTCTCAACAGTTAATTCTGTTTTACCAAATGAATGTCCTCCCTTCATCCTGACATAGTTATTATTATGCTGTCTCAGTGCAGGGACTGTTTTATACTTGGGTTGGGGGAAAGGAGCCAGTTCTAAGAAAACTTTTCTGGCCAAGTGCAACACAAACCGATACCTCACTGTTTGCTAGCGTGCTGCTCAAGTAGAATTTGTAGATGGTATGTGCTTTTCATGTGATTCCTCCATTAGGAAAACATAGCAGTTAAATTACTAGGTTGTGCAATGTTTTCAATTCTGAAAAAAGATAGGATATTATTGGGTAAGATATTAAAATATTTATAATAATGAATATATAGAATAATTAAATAATATCCATATTACTGGATAAGCAAAGCAACATCCTGAAAGAGCCTAATTAGAAGGACTAACTGCCACCGTACCACAGTCTGTTTCAGTTTGAGCTTATTTTTACATGCCACTTAAGAGCTGAAAGGTGCTTTTCCCAGTACTAGGTGAGAATACAAGATTTCACACCTCTTTTTCTAAACTGGTCCATAATAAAAAATGAAGTGAGATTAGTAGGTAGGGTGAGCTCTCTAAAGATAAAGATCAACCTGCTAATTGTCCCTATTAAGCATAAGTGCATTTGATTGTTCTATTTCTATACAGTTTTGCCAACAAACAGAATTGGGTAATTCCCCCAGCCAGAGCCATCGTTCTGCTTCTGCCCAGAAGGCTGCCTAGACTGAACCATTGCTGATTTGACACTAAAAAACCACCTGGTGAAGCTGCACTGTGAATTGGGCTTGCTTTATCCAGGAAGATGAAATTATTACCTTCAGGTCACTCTGTGAAAGGCTGAGGAGACTGAGCTAATAAAAACAGCTCAGCCCTGAGGGTTTGCAGGTACACCACTTTTTTTGCACAAGCAACCCTGAGCTATGTTGTGGACTTCTCAGAGTTACAGCCAAGCCTGCTCATTTGTTTTCAGTGACTGATGTGTATCTTTAAGAAAAGAAAAGAAAAAAATGCAAACCCCCTTGATTTTCTTCTACCATGTCATCTCTGGTGACAATGTGCTGAGGAAATTGAATTAACAAATAACTTCCTGTTAGTAAAAAAAATGCAAATAACTGACAATTTCCCTCCCATTTTTCTAGTAATTTTAGGAAAGAGGCAAATGAGCTGCAACAAAATGTTTGTCTGTAGAGTCAGTGTATTAACAATCCCCTTAAAAGATCATCTTGATCTTACTGCCTTGCTATATCATTACCTCAATCTCTCTACAAAAAAAGCATCTGGATAAATCTTAAACATATCTAAAATAGTTGCCGTTGGTCTGTCTAGAAAGTGCATTCTCAATGTTTATTGCTCTTCTAAAGCACCAGTTTTGTTTGCAGGAATGTTAATTATCTAACTTATGGATGGAGTCTGTTGGGGTGTGGTCTTGTTAGCTCTTCTACAGTTCTTACTGTTAACTTCAATCAGTAACAACCAACCACTTTGGAAATGTGCTCTGCTAGGTCCTTTTATTTACCCTTCTCTTCTTCTGTAAGGCATCACTGAGCTATTCAAATTTTCTCTGTTTGGACTCTTAAAACCTAGACTCACCTTGGTTCAGCCAGCTCAGATTTCTGTTATCATTTCTGTGGGGTGAAAAGAATGAAACTGGATGAAGGGGGTCAAAACTTTGATTAGTGTAAACCATTAATGGTAACTTCATTAACTTTTATGCAACTATGTCAGTTTACATTTGCTGTGCATCTGCCCCAGAAGTGTTCCAGGAGGGTAAACAGAGGACATAGTCTTGCACAGAAACACCACCATATAATTTCCAGCTCTCCTTTTGTTACAGACACATAGAATGGATACAGTAAGATGACGGGGATATTAATTTGGTGCATCTGTCCAGCTCTTGTCTGTTGTGACTCTGATACCACTAGAGTTGTCAAAGCCTTAGACCTACCCTTACCGGATAAGGTTCCTAAAGCATGATGTTGCCATTTCATCTTTCTCATGGTCCTCTCAGGAAAAAGGTCTGATTTTAGCAAAATAAATTCTGTTTGTGATTAGCAAACAGACAATCCCAGCATAGTCCTGTGTTAACCTTTCTGGGCTTATATGTAACCTATTATCTTCAAGAAGACACGTTATTGACTGTCTGGCAAGCTCACCTTCCTTCTTTTTCTTCCTTCTAGAGAAACCATCCACATATCTGTTTGTAGTCAGAGTGGAAAGAATTTGTGTACTATAATAGTGTCATGCCTTCAGTCATAAGTATAATCACTGAGGACGATGAGAGCACTCCTTTGCTACAAATCCAGAGCAGTCAGCATCTGGTCCCTTTTTCCAGTCTCTTGTGTCTGTGTGTATTGACATATACAAAATAAAATGAGAACAAATAGCCTGAAACATGGCCATTCTGGTCTCTTTCCTGCCGTGTATCTGTCTGTCACCAACTGCTAATAACTTTTTATTGTATATACTGGATTCTGGTTAGCTGTCTCAAATTTGTTTTTTAGCATTTGTAGAAAACCTTCCATTTATCTTTCTATGTGTCGTATAAAAGATTGAGATCCTTCCTGCTGAACTGTTGTGCTGCCGTTCTCTTTTCTTACCTCTCCAGTTAGGTATTATCCTCAGATGAAATAGTCTAATCAGTTGATGGCAATACTTAAACTAACCCCACTTCCTGCTAGAGGGTGTACATCTTGCTCTTTGAAGACCCATGGTGCATGACCATAGGAAACAGAAGTAAAAAGGCACACAATAAGACAACAAGCAGTTTTGTTTGCATATTTCTTATTAAATAGTTAACCAGCATTTACTTGTTGGTAACAATTAATTGTTAATTTAGAACAACTTTTAAATGTTTTGTTGCCTCCTGCATGAAAGGAAATAATTTAAAAGCCACTATGGGGTCAGCCTACTGCTATTCAGCATATTTATCTTTGCCATTAGCTTTTTGGTAAAAGTGCTGCTTCTGTCTAGAGGCCACAAATCTTGTTTGTGCTTCCTGTTGCAGAATGTTTATTACACAAGCAATCAGCAGCTCCATGTGGGTGTTCTGAGTCCCACTATCGACGATGATGACAACAGATGCCTGGTGGACGTGAACAGCAGGCCCAGGCTCATTGAATGCAATTATGCCAAAGCCAAGAGAATGAAGCTTTACTGGCAGTTTACTCAGGTAATTCTTACTCAGCAGACATTTCAGAAAGTTCAAAAGCTCTGTTTCTGCATCTGAAGTGTGAGTAATCTCTTTACTAACAGAACTGAACCAGATTTATCCTTGCTTTCTTTGCACGGAAGCAGGAAGCTATGTTTACATTTGATCCCAATGTCAGCTACCTTAGGAGGTTATAAAACTTGTGTTCTATTTTCTGAGTTCACAAGAAATTATTTGTTTCTAAGGCAGAGTGACTGCTACAGAATTATCTCAATTAAAAAAAAAAGTTATTTTGGTAGAGTCAAATGCAAAGTAACCTATTTAGGAGCAAGAAACAGAAAGCGTTTTTGTTGTTTGGTTTTTTGGAAGTGGCAACTCAGAAAAGGGGATAGTGGGTCATTGATGATAACAGCCTCATCATGAGCTACTTGTGCAGTTCCTTACTTAAAAAGGCTAATGCTTTTATGTGTGAGAGAGAGAGATAAAAAGAAGTGCAAGTGAAGGCTGAGAAATGGTTTCACAGTGATGACAATGCTGATAGGACACTGAGTCCAGGCCTGGTGTCCGCATGTCATAACTGATTTAGAAATACAAGGGAGAACTACAAAGAAGCCACAAAAGTTATGGGGCTAGGAAACACACTTTGTGATATAATGCTTATGGAGATCACTCTGTTCAGTTTAGCTAAGAGGAAGTGGCAAGGTGACTCAAAGCATACCAGTGTTTCCACAGAGGGACATAGGTTATCCTGAAGACAAAACAGGTTCCAATGGTTGGAAGCTAAAGATAGTCAAATTTGGTCTTTCAAAGGAAGGTAAGATTTTCCTAAGGTAAGAATTAAGACATCGGAAGTTTACCATGTCGGGTACTGACATGTCGGTTGCTTAGGATAACTAAAATTTAGATTACAATGCTTTCTAAACCAAGTACCTGACTTAGCTTCTGTGAAAAATTTAATAGCTAGTGTGAGTTTGGTCACAGTTGCTCCTCTGCAGTTGTGAAGCTACAAATCTAGTTGTGTACTCCAGCCCATGGGCTGAGGCTCACCATTAAGGTAATTCTATCCCTGCATTTAATTTTTCTGTATCATCCATGTAGGTTTGCGAATATCTTTTCTGCCAGCTCATTAGTTTGTTGTTTTTTTTCTTTGACTTCAACAGCCATGTTCAGCCTATTTTAGGACATTGGTAATACAGTTTCGCATCCACCTTAATGCAGAGAGCATTTGGACAGTAATCAATAAAACATACTATTAACATAATTTGTATTTATACTTTGAAGTAATCCAGATCTTTGTCTTTAAGGGGTAGCTCTCAAGCAGCAGACCTTAAATCCCTAACCTGGAAAGACATCCCAGCTTTCACTTTCAGTCTCCTCAAGGGCAGAGTTTTAATTATGTCTTCTCTGAAGTTGTAAAAATAGTCTCATCATGAGTGCAGGGGCTCACTGTGGCCATCTCTGCACTTGATTTTTGGTACCATTTAAAAAAAGTATAATTAACATTTATTTAAATAGTATTTCAGTAACATGTTAGTACTGTCCACCTATTCAGTGATTGCTCTGTATAACCCAACCCTTTGGTGACAATTAATGGTTTCTACTCCAGAATATTGCTGCTGTTTTGTAATACTAATTATGTTAGATCTGATTTGGGGAGCAGCAGTAGAATGCATTGATAATTTAGCTATTAAAAGCTTCAGAAATGGTATTTAACTACTTTAGGTTTGTTTTCTGTCTGTATTTCCATTCCATGTTCCAAATACATTTTCCCAGTGAAGGTGCAGTGCTGTTAAACTAGGCTCTATGGACTGTACTTAAGTAAGTCTTCTACAAAGAAACTTCTGCCCAGGAGAAGTGAAAGCTAATTAGTTGTTTCCTTATGATAAATTAAGAGACAAATGAAATAATTAAAAGCTTGCTGTTCAAAAAGGATTTTGTTAATACCCAATGCAATTAAAATGCCATTATTTCTCAACATACAGCATGGTACACAGCCCCTCTGTAAGCTAGAAGAAAGTTAATGAGAGTAATCAAGGATTGCCAAGATCAGCTTATGAACTCCATTTGAAATGCTCCCATTTAGTCTGGTGAAAGGATGTGTTTCTGTGAATACACTGGAAGCTGTTTATCTGAAAAGAGTCTTTTTTGTTATGTTTTTAAAGCTCTGGTATTTATTTTCCATATTATGCAGTGAGCAGAACTACTGAAAATAAGCAGGATTGTAAGTATTGATGCTTATGTAGTCTTGAAGTTTGTGAAATATTAATTAAAAAGTAGATGCTGGCCATAGCTTTTTATAGCACCTTCCTTTGGCTGCAAGTATGCTTTCACTTCTCTGGATTCTCTAGCCATTCAACAAGAATGTCTGATGATATAGATAAATAAAAATATAGCAGTGCAAGTAGAGAAATTGTCTCGGAAAGGAAATGGGAACAAGACTTACCAACCAAAGCAGGGTAAACCAATTGAACTAGATTCCCCTGACCAGCACAAAAATCAGTATTTGCCCTGCATTCCAGACATGTATCTTAAAATTTGAATGAGGAAGCTTTCTCACTTTTCTGCAAAACACACTATATATTCTGAGAGGCACCATAATAGTGTGTAGTGGGACATGGACTTCAGACGGGTTGATAGAAGACTGTACAGCTTTTTGGAAAAAGGATTCTTCAGTTAACATTTTCCTCCTCCCTTGCGTTGTTGAAATCTAATGATGAGAGAAATCCTTATGACAGAAGTAGAAAATAGGGGTCATCCTCAGCTAGTGGTCTTGCTTCTATAGTTCTATTACAGAATTATTTCATTCTTAATTTGCATCTTTGATTAGAAGTGTGTGTGTGTGTATACACATATATACACTTGTGTGTGTGTATATTTAAATTTAAAAAAAAAGAAAGCAAGTTATCTTTTACTTTGGTTTTAAAATTTTAAGTTATGTTGCTACCTTCAATTGTAGGCAGCTGGAGTCAGACACTCAGATGTTCACTGCCATGTTGTGGACAAAATAGTCGTTTAATGGGCATTCATATGGAGGGAACTGCCACCAGTACCTCAAACTGTTTTCATTATACATCATACTGGCTGACTGGACAGAGGCCTTGGGAGACTGTGGTATCCTTCTGTACTGGACAAACTTGCATTGAGCATTCAAAGCTCATATTATGTGTTGGTATAATCAGGATCCATCTGAGCAAATTTCCATGCTCCACAGTTTTGTACAGCTGCCAAATGCAACAACACCCAATAAAATGTAGGCTTCAATGACATTCTTCCTTCCAAGGCTTCTTCAAGTGTTTATAACTGTAATTATGTCAAATTATGTAAATTAGCCCTGAAAAGACTCCAGTCAACTGGGTAGTGTTCAAGAATTTTATTGTTCAGGTTGTTTGTCAAGTCTTCTCTTAAGGGAAATGCTTATTTTGGGAATACTTTTATGCTGAAAAGTCTTCTAGGTGTTTGCCAGTTCACCTAGTTCAGTCTGTCTCACCACTTTTTCATTTAATGGAGCAAAACCAGACCTTATAGCAAAATGGCAACTAATCCCCAGAAATTACACAAGGCAGAGAGGACAGAATTACATGGTAGTAAAATGATCAGAATTTTACTAAAATATTAATTTAAACATGGTATCGAGGAAGCTGCTCTGGCATCATGAATCATCAGGAAAGCAAAAACTAATCTCAGTTGCTACTGAGCACCCCTTATGTAGTACTAAACAATTAGTCCTGCTCACACCCTGTGAGCTCTTTACGGCGCGGAGCAGGTGCTCATGCAGTGTGCTGGCAGCAGCAGCCTGTCCCCCCCCCGTAACCAAATGCTTGCAGGAAGCATCAGGTCAGCAGCACATCTGCATGACAGTCGCTGTCCACATGCTCAGTCAAGCTGCTGTCCTTGGGACTGCTGTAGTGGTTGCATTACGTGGTCTGTTGTGTGACAGAGAAGGGGCACTGAGATGTAGGAGAGTGAGGCCAGTGCACCTGGTCAGATATCTCCTTGGGACATCTTTCAGTAGAAACTGCTTATGGCCAAAACCATGCTCTTTTGAACTGACTATCTTACATTATTAAGGTTTTTCTGTGTGCTAAGAAATAGTACATTCTAAATGCTGCAGTCAGGGTTTTTTTTTGTGGGGGGGGGGGGGGGGTATGGGTTTGTTTGTTTAAGAAGTTTCTCAGTCTCCAGTCTGATTTCTCAGGTTTATTGCTGATAAAAAGGCAGTTGTGATGTAACACCTACCCTGTGAGTAAAATTCATCTCTACATACATCACCTGGGTGACCAGCAGGTCATCTAGAAAGTACGCTTACAGCATGTTAAGACTCCTCCAGCAGCAAAACAAGGGCAAAAGGAGGAAGTTTTTCCGTAATTACTCTTTATCTTGAAGTGTCTTCATGTTTATATTTAATTGGATAGGGATGCGACTTTCTTATGCTTCTAACCAGACTAGCTATGCTGTCACTATTTGCTGTTGTGAGAAATGTGACAGGTGAGGGCTCCATGTAACAAGAGATATAAGGATGGACACGACGCAGACCTAAAAAATGAAGAGATGAATGTTTTTAAGGCTGTTTCATGTTGAATCCTTTTCAGTACAGCAAGCTCTGTTAATTTAAGTAATTCAACCAACAGTGTGGTTGCCATAGAAAGGTAAGAAGAGTGGACACTCATCGCAGACCTCATGGGAGGGAGAGGCTGTGCAAAGCCTATGCTCAGCACTGTCGGGTACCCATATCCAGTAGCAGCTGCATCTGCCTGCGATGCTAACGTTGCTTTTACATTTTATGGAGGATTGTGATTCTAGTCAGTGCTGGAGGTTTCCACAGGAAAGCTTCCAGTTCAGAAGTGTTCAGAGGGGGTGGTTTATGCTATCCTGAGAAGCTGTAAATAAAATTTGTTGCTGACAATTGTAGTTACCATATGTATAATTTCCGAAATATCACAGTAGGAATTGCTATGGAAGGAAAAGGGAAGACAGACGAGAGCAAATGAATTACTCAGTTGGTACAGTATTCCACAGATAAA